GGTTCAACATGACAGACTCCGTAGAAGAGGACCCGCTCCCTGTGGTGATTATACACTTGTAACACACCGTCCTGTGTTTATCCTGTGAGTGGCCGTAAAGCAGAAGTTGTAGTTGTTCTGTGTTGTTGACTCAGGTGAAGGTAAGGTGTTGAAGGTAAAAAAGTGGTTGCTGGTCGTGGCACTACATCTCTATGTTCTGTTTACTTTGTTTTTTTTTTTACCAAACTTCCCCAATTAGGCGAACCAAAGACACTCGGTTGCACACTAATGGAAACATACCTCTAAATATTATATTCCATTTCTGCCAATAGACCCTCCTTAACTGCAGCGCTCATTACATACGTGTTAATTATTTCCACATTGCGTTCACACGTGGGCCAGATCTGGGCCACTTATCGCAGTCACAGCTCAGTTTCCATCAACAGGTGTCATATAGCCCAGTAGATTTGGGTGAGTTTGCGTAGAGAGGTGTAAATACACAGCGTGGTGGTTTTAGGTTGACCTGCAGTGTGTTGAATATGGATTTTGCCCACATAGACTAGTTTGTGGGTGAGTTTTGCCTATTTGTATGTAGGTCAGGTATTTTGAAGGATGTGACTACATTGCAACATGCTGTCTCAAAGTTTGTTTGCAGAAAATGTGAGCCGCAACAGTTTACAGAGCATCATTTTAAGGTTTAGAGCTGTTTATTTTAATAGAAATACAACTACATAAATATGTGATTATATGCCACAGGTGCACTGATATATCTGATATAGCTATTACAACATAGTTATCAAATGATAACTTTCCACCTTAACATTTGTGAGGTGAAATATTTAATATTCATTGTTTCAAAGGTTAAAGATATAAAATGAATGAAAGTAAACATACATTATTTGTTTGCTGAATCATTGTTAAATCGTTGCAGTGAACAGTTGAACACTTCTACACTCTGACAGCAATGTTAAAATGAATGACTAAGAAGAAGAAAAATAGAACTCTTTGGAAAAAGCTAGTAAGTTGACCTTGAGTTGGGATTGTTTTTTAAAACTATTAGTGGTGAAAGAAGTATATATATATATATATACTTATAGTACCAAAACAACAACCGCTTACTTTTAAAAGTACAGATTTAACAGCAACATTTACTTCAAAATGTAAGAGTGCTTCAGATCATCAGATCAATCTTCAACAAAACTGAGGAAACTTCATGTTAAAGCTCCAGTTGTGAAAGTACTGTACCTCAAAAATGTATTTCAGTAAATGTGTTTTCCACCACTAAACAAGTAAATACAAAAATGTACAGATAAAGACCAGTTTTAGTGTATCTGTGTGTGTGTGTGTGTGTATATGTGTGTGGTAAATGACTGAGGTCAAATGAGGACAGCAGGCAGTGTGCATCTCATTTATTTTCACCCGTTCCATCAAACAGCCACAGTTACCTCAGAGCCAAAACAGCGTACCATTACCCCTTAAATTAGAATACATAAATAAAAGCTGTTTGCATATTAACAGTTGCTGATGTACACATTCCAACTTGCTGAAGTACACGCTGATTTACAAAGACACTGACAATGGGTTTTTTTGTTTCTCAAAATCTATGTATGAATTGAGGCTCGTATTTTTCAGTCCACTGTCACAATGTCCTTCCCTGTAGACAGATGTCAAGCCTTTGCATAACCAAGCTGGAGTTAACTCTGGTAGGGAGCGGGGACAGTCCTTTTGTAGCTGTATATTATTTACAAAGTGAATGATGGAGGTTTATTTGAACCAAACAAGATAATCAATATTAACAAAACAACTAAAAGCTGTCTCTTTTTTTTCTCTTAAACATTCATATTCGTGTGCCGTTTCCCCAAAAGAAAGCAGATAGAAAAGAACAGAGCTGGTTCATTGTCTCGTTCCACCTTAAAAGACTGCGAGTTTCCTTGATTCGAACATTTAGCCCTTAGCCCTGCTTGTCACAAAACAATCCTCTGACCAGAAAAGAAACATACACGGGCTGGTGGGAAATTACATCCTCATTTCTCAAACACACTTAGTCACATTTGCACGCGCACACACACACACACAGTTTGAACCATCCCCCATTCAATCTAAGCTTCAGCCAACTCCAATTTAAACAAACTCTCTCGCCTTTGGGCCTGTGGAGTGGCCCACTTTCTCCATCTAGAGGAGAAAGGCTGAACTACATAGTGCTTCTGTTCCACTGGTTTCACATTTAAAAACCTCTCACCACCTCACGATTGTATTCTGCAGCTTAAAATTTTTTTTTTGTTTTGTTGTTGTTGCCAAGTGAAAGCAACAAATCACCAACAGGCTCGTTCCATCTGTTCTGAGCTCAAGCACCATTACAGTTCAAATAAAACAGGAAACGCAACAGAATCAAGACACTAAATCCAATTCATAAACTGTACAATGTGAAGAAGCATTGAAGGTGCCTGCAGTTTCTTTTTTTTTATGATTCAGTAAACAAACACGATATAAGCTGAGGAACCCTCATGGTATCATGTAAAACTCTCCCTCAGGGGTGATCAGTACGGTCCGTCATGGAGAGAGGTGGGAGAAAAGGAGGAGGGGAGGGGGATGGACGTTTTTTTTTTTTTTTGGAAATGACTTTTCCTCTCGTGTAGTCGCAGAGCTCGACAGACGAAACCGGTTCTGGCTGCTTTGATCAAATGTCTTTAGCTGAATGTTGACGAAACCGGAGCAAAGGGAAACCGGTAAGGAGCGAGTAATTCCTCGCAGATTCTGGTTTCACTCTTCGTCCGCGTTCTTCAACATGAGGATGGAGTTGTAGATCTTTAGGGCAGGTCCTAACTTGATTGACAGGATCTTGACAATGTCCGCTTGGGTGAGCAGCAGGAAGGCCTCGCCATCTATTTGCTAAAAACAAGAAGAGGTTTTGCTTATCACATTTTTGTTTCACAGACTAATAGAGATTCTGATCCATATTTAGTATATAAATATATATATAAATATATAATAGCATTCATTTGAAGTAAAATGGAAATCTAATATTCACTCTTAATTCTGTTTTTGTTCTCTAACAGCTCTTGAAGGAAATATCTAAATGCTCCACTATGTTCACCAGCTAAGACTGTGTCCGTCCACTTTTAATAAAACGTTGTTTGATTCAATCCTGAGCACAAAATACTGAAAAACTTGATGAGCATTTCCTGAACAACATGTGTGATTGCAGTGTGCACTGATTGGCAAGATGTTTAGTGTTACAGAGTGTCCACACAGTGGCATTAATGAAAGAATTACAAACATTGACATATGAATTGTTAGGTAGCATTAATTGTAGGGGTGTGAATCAAGTGTCTTTAAAAAGGAATCACATTTTTCAGGGTTGTCTTATTATGAAAATGTATGCAAATTCTATGAAAATGATGAAAACTACATAAAATTGCATAAAGCTGCACATCAAATACACTAATAAGGCAACTAAAAAGTATGCAAACACATTTCAGACCCTTTTTTCCACGTGCTTAATGTCAGACAGACTACACAAAAGGTGGCAGCAATACATTTACATTGAGATGATTGAGTCAGTGCTTATGTAATGCTGCCACCTGTGTGTGTATGCATTATGTATCGGTTCTGAAGTTCTGCTACAAAAAGCCAAGTGTGTTCCTTGTGTAAAGATCGCTCGTAAAATATAAATACCCTGCTCTCACCTACAAAAGAAGCAATATGAAGACAAACCTACTGGGCTCTTTTTAATGACATTCGTTAGACTAAAACAATTCAAGTATTAGAAACATTATCTTTATTAATATTAATCATTAGTTGACTCTTTCGACTTGGTGACATTATGAGTGAGTTGAAGTCACGGTTAGCAAAGAAGTGCATACCTCGGTTTTAAATGTAGCAGCATGTTCTTTACATCCTGGGAGTCCTTTGACAAAACTGGCCACCTGGTGAACAAAGAAACAGCTTAACTACAAGAAAGCTCCACACAGGATGTTTCCATCAACAATTGTTTATCTACAAATCAAAGTGCCTTTGTTCCACTGACGTGCAGAACAACCAGAAAACCTGTCCTTAAATATTCATTAACAGTCGCAGTTTCCCTGAACAACAACATGCCTTCATGTCGGAGGAGTGAATGCGGAGCAGGTCTGCTTTTCATGTGTTGGCACAGTGTGAGCGTGTGAGCATGTCTGACCTCCTCAGCGCTCCAAGTGGCCACTCTCTTGGCAGTCAGCCCCAGGACCTCAGGCAGCAGCTGGCAGTGTTTGTCCCAGCAGAGAGCCACCCGGTGGGGGGGGGAGGCAGAGATGCCGGGGGAGAACACAGACTCGTGGAGGGCCTGCTGGAGAGAGATGGCATCTGGAGAGGCTG